GGTTTGCAAAAAGCGGAACAAAATGTTATATCTGACGCTCAATTCTTGCCCTCGAGCGGACTGTACGTATATCAGTTCGCAGCAACACCTTTTTACATCACTTTTTCATATCATTTTACACCAAAACCCTAGATCTTCACCATCTCTCTCTAAAACTCCCTCTCTCTCTACATTTTCACCTAGATCTAGTGGGTTATTCACCTATAGGCCTTTGTTAAAAAGGTAGTGTGCCTCAAAAGCTCTCTTTCGATCTGATTAAAGCTTGGTTTCGGCGTCTTTGAAGTTCCTCCATATTTTCCTTTGGTCTTCTAAGCTTAAGGTAGGGATTTTCTACACTCTCATATAGTTTTTAACTTAGTTATTTGATGTTGTATGGATACGATTGGGATTTGGAAAATTTTAGACAAACATAGGGCTTTGGTTTAAAGTCAAAAGAGGGGTTTTCAAATGAAGGTATTAAAAATGGTTGTGGATGTAAATATGAGGATGTATTGTGTTAAATTTGTTGATTTTAATACATAGATTGAGTTTGGATGGAAATGAGGTTTTGCCCTAAATTGTCTCCAATAATGACTTTGCATAAATAATGAAATTGGTATTGAAAATGTGAAATTGGAGGGTTATTTATATAAACGGTGCAGTTGGATATGTATTATCTCTCACCTATAGAAATTTGGATAATTTATCTATCTTTGAGATTGTATATCTATTTAGAATTATCTGTTTTGGGCTATCGGTGGAGGATAGCCATGATTGTTGTAGAAATTGCATAAGGATTAAGCGAATTGAAACTAATCTCTTATTGGTTGTCATTGAATATGACTGTGTTATAATATGTTGTATATGTATGATATTTTGGAAGAGAAATGGGATGTACTCCATATTTGGGAGGAGAAAGGGGATAGACTATATTGAATTAAGTTGGCCTGTGTGTCTTGGGTGTAAGTCCCAAAAATAGCGCGTATACATGGATGATGATTCCCGCGGACGAAATTTCCGTAAAATGGCAAATTAAAGTGTTGTGTATTGATTATGTATGTTTGAGAACCACTGAGTTGTAGTCTCAGCTGGGTTATCTAGATAATAATGAACATAACTCATGAATTGAGGTGAAATGAATTGACATGAATGGAATTAAGATAAAACGGATTAGAATAAAAGAATTTGACATATTATGATCTTGTAAGATATTATTGATTCTATAATGGGCATTAGACATGCACTTCATGCTTATATATTTGGTAAGATTCATATATTGTATTAGATTGTTTCTACTGGGTTTTGGCTCACCCTATTAGGAAAAACTATTTTCAGGTGCTGGTGACATGCCTCCGCCAAGGCAGTACTCATTTTTGTTGTATTTAATTTGTACAACAAAGGGGTTTAACTGTATTGAGCTAGACTCACTTCGTTGTAACCAAGGAATGACTTGGAAAGATGTAAGCCATTAGGGCATTTAAATATCTGTTCAACTTTCATCTTTTGATTATTAGTAACACATGCAGGATAGGACATTTATGAATGTATATCGCATGTGTCACCTTTTGTATATTAACTATGATGAATGAAAGTACATTGTTTCAATCCTATTTCCGCAAATGAGATGGGTTTGTCATATTTATTTTGGGGCGTTACACTAGACCACATCTGTGAGTAGATTTGGTCTTCTCGAACTACGGGTTTTTTTTGAAGCTTTTTGTGGTTTATGTTAGATTTTTTCTTTTGTTGTTCTTATAATCTGTTTTTTCTTTTAATATATTGCATGTTTTTCTAGTTCTCAAAAGAAAAAGAAAAAAAAAACACAAAGGTATTTGTTAAATTTTATATAGTTAACCTCATCCATAGATGGCAAAACAAACAAGAACTATTGCCTTGTATTGCTAGTCCAATGGACATGAAACGAACACAATTTTTCATAATCCTCCACTCAATCCCACTACAATAATAATCCTCTAACTCAATCCCACCACATTAATAGTTCCATCAAACCTCACTCTAAAAACAAACGGAGCCTCAATGTTTATCCAATGTGCACCACAATAATCAAACTTGGTTTATATGTTGCATGGTTATCCAGCCCAACTACACAAGTTTATTATAGCATGTCAAAAAATAAAATCTATAGAAACTAATCAATTAAGAATTTTGGGAATTGACTTTTTTATTAATTTTTTACTTTTTATTAAAAGACTTGTAAAAAGTAGAAACAATAATAACTGACTTTTTTGTAGCGACTTTTAATTTTTTGACTAAAATAATGAAGTTCCCAAAATAGGACTTGACAAATGAACTCGACTCGGTCATTTTTCCTAATTCCGATTGACTTGGCAAATAAACAAGTGAACCGTCACTTGGTCTTTTTTTGTTTTTTGTTTCTTTCTGTAAAGGGTCCGAAATTAAACCACAAACTAAGTATGGACTCAAGCACTAAGATCGCCCTGAGAAGGCAACTAGGGATAAGAAAGGAGCGTGGGCCAAAGCCCAAAGAAAGTGGGCCAGCAAGTGGGCCGAGGCAGGTCCAACCCACCAAGGCTCCAGATGGACTCAGCAAGAAGAAATACCCAAGTCAAGTTGCAGAGGCAACACCTGCAGTGGTGAAGTTACCGAGGGAACATGTACAGCGGCAGAGTTGCGAAGGCATTTTGCCTCAGCACCGCCATTCCTATTGACTTCGGTTCCACTGCCATTTGAAGTTGCCAAGGGAACATGTGCAACGATAGAGTTACAGAGGCACTTTGCCTCAATGCCGCCATTATTATTAACATCGGTTACGCCGCCATCAGGAGTTGCCGAGGGAAAGACTGACGTAACTAAGTTACTGAGGCAATACTTGTAGTGCCCAAGTTGCGGAGGCATTCTATCGGCACCGCCATCTCTAATATCTTCAGTCATGCCGTCTGAATTTGTCGTGGGAAATGACTACCGCAGCAACTAAGTTGTAGAGTGAATATCCTGCCAAGATGATAGCAGTCTTTGAAAGAGGCTTCCCTCTACAAGCAGAGGCTAATGCCTAGCATTGACAGCAGGCCCCCAGGCATTTCTGGCCTAGGGCTGATAGCAGGCCCCACAGTTCATTTAACTTGGCGCTAATAACAGGCCCCAAGACTTGTTGGTTGGAGCTAATAGCAGGCCCAGAGGTACCAGTTTATTGCGGCAATCTCACGAAGATGGGAGCAGGGTAGCCTGAGCATAAGGGACTCCCTTTCCATTACCCAGGTCATGGATCTGCCTTGGTCGCATAGGCAGGACTAAGAAAGCCCCCTTGGGCTTGGTACTAAGGCACAGCATGGTTGATAATAGGCTTAGTTGTGGCCTTCGCCCTGGGGAGTTTGTGGTTAGGTGGCTAAGGGTGGAGGCTTCGCTAGGGTGAGCACGAACATAGTCGATAGCAGACTAATGGAATCCTGAGAATGCATGTAATGGCCAAATAGAACTGAGAAGGCAAGTGCAATGGCGAGGTTCACCACTACTAGTGCACTTGTTGAGGTTCAAGCAGAGAAGGCAAGTGCAGAGGCAAGCACTCCCGCCATAACTGCACTTGCTGAGACTCAAAAGGGAGTTGCAACGCCAAACACTCCCGTCGCAACTACACTTGCCGAGGCCCAAAAAATGTAGTTATGGAGGCAAATAGATAGTACACAATACGTGCAAAGGGACACGTGGCACCTTCAGCCTCGTGGCTCAAGGCAGAATATTCTATGTGATCCTCTAGGACACATAACTTCTCTCTATTTGGCCACTTGATGCCCTCTTGGTACCAAAGAAAAGCCTATAAATATGACCCATTTCCCAAGGTTCAAGATAGGAATTTTGGGGATTTTGGGGAGATGCTACCCAATTTGGTACTGCCATACACTTCTTCTTGAGCCACTTGATTCACCCTCACCCAGCTACACACTCTGCAATTCCCAGATAGTTGTTGCTCTTCATTCTCGAGCCACTTCCACCATCAGTGGACCATTAGCATAGTTTTGCCTCTCTAATCACCTCTCTAACCTTGAACCCCCCTACACTTTCTAATTGGACAATTACAAACAATTCTGCAGTAAATAATCTTGTCCCTTTACTATAATTTAAGCAAAAAAAAAAAAATTAACTTTTGTGTCATGATCTTGTGTTATTCACGTACGATTTTCTTTGGCTAGATAAATTATAAGTTTACTCAATTGACTCTAATTTAATCATCACTTAGAATTTACTGCCTTTGAAACTTAATTTTTTCTAATCATTTTATTCAACAAGAAGCCACAAAAGTCTTGAATGTGGGAAGTAGCAAGTAAAGAGTAAGTTAAGTGAGTGCTACGTTGTAAAGGAAACAACAAAGCAATTGGGATGGGTTGACTATACTCTCAAGTTTCAAAGAGGTTTTTGAAAACCAATGATTTTACAAATAAAAAACAAATCACATAACTAACCGTAGAATACTCTTTATGTAGGCCTCACAATAGCCGTGTCTAAAGTGCAAATGTTAATGCTTCAATTCAAATTGATAGCATGGAAGCTTCAAGCACTACAATTCAATTCAGTTTCAAAATTGAGTTTTAATACATTAACGCGGCATGAGCTAGATATGAACATGACACAATAACATGAAAAACAAATCAGTTAAGATACCATTAAGAAAATTTCGACACGAATCATAAATGACACAACACAAATGTGATTTACACAACATGAGTCCCACACCCTTTACTTTCGCCACAAGTAAATTAGAATAACAATGGGCATGCATCTAGAGGGACAAAAGTCTCACACCTAGCAATATTGGCCACATGCTCATGAGTAGCAACAAATAGGACAATATAAAAAGCTCCTAACAATATCGAATTAGCAAAGAAAGGAAATGAAACTAAGTTATCAATAAGGGTACTAAATCCACTGTCTTTATTCATAAGCAACACAGAAAATACCATTTACAACACTAGCCATACTTATCCAAAGAAACAAGCCATAACAATACTTGTCCATGGAAACAAAGCATAGCTAATTATTGGGAAGGCCTAAAATATCTTGCGAACAGTATCAGAAATAAAATAATAACTAGAATACATGCCCTCCTCAATCAGATAGAACCACATTTGTCTCCAATATGGGTTGATGTAAAGAATAATAGCAAATCCAAACAAGAAAGCAATGTATGATCCGACAAAACTTGCTGAAAAAGCCACTAGATCAATATCATACCATTTCCCTTCAGTTTCGTCTGAGGATAATGTTATTGGCCAGTATGGCAAATTAACGATGGGTGTGCAATTTTTCTCCAATGGCGGTCCACAAAGAAATGGATTTCCCTCATAACTGCTTGCTTCAAAGGTCGCAAATTGTGCTTTCCTGTCTAATAGTGTACCTGATAAATTGTTGTGAGCCACAATAAACACTTCCAAAAAATTTAGACCGATTAGTTCTGTTGGGATGTTTCCGTTCAAATTGTCGTAAGAAAGGTCCAAACTCTCTATCTGGATAAGGTTTAAGAAGGCCTTCGGGATGGGTCCAGTCAAGAGATTGCGAGACAAGTTCAGGGCATGAACACTACTTGGCTTCCCTAGTTCAAAAGGTATTTCACCTGTTAGTTTGTTACATGACAGATCCAATCCAGACATGAAATTAAGGATGCTACCAGCCCTGTAGAAGTTAGTCCTACTTTTGGTAACAAACTCAACTTCATCTACTTTGTTATACATGGTATCCATGTCATGGATTTCAAAATTCGTTTCTAGGACACCATCATATTTGTAAAACGTATTCCTACCGGACGAAGATACAATTGTCTGCATGAAGGCCTGGTCACTAGCCCCTATCATGCCAAAGGTGATATTACCGAAACAATGGGGAATAGACCCATCTAAATAGTTATTGGAAAGGTCCATCAAACTTATCTTATTTAATTGACACAATTGAGTTGGAATTGAACCACTCAATTGGTTCCCTCTGAACAAAAGAATTCTGAGGTTAGAAGCCACTCCAATCGAATCAGGAATGCTGCCACTAAAGCTATTTTCGCTTATATCAAAGGTCAAAAGATTTGACGAATTAAGGAGAGCTCTTGGAATTAATCCTGTGAACTTGTTCCCTCGCAAATGCATACGCTCCACATATCCCAGGTTTGGGTTTGAGCAAGAAGGATGTATTGATCCCGAAAACGAATTATAAGAGGCGTCCATATACACATTTTGAACCAGTGCACATGGGAACTCACCATTGAAAGAATTATTTCGGATGATTAGTGTACCCAACGATGTCTTGTTATCCATTGAACTTGGAATCTTGCCAAACATGTAGTTGTTGCTAATATCAAGAAAGTCCAATTTAGACAATTTGGAGAGCACATTTGTTAGAGGCCCCGCAAACTGATTATCATTCAATTGCAACCTCCATATCGAAGTCAAGTTGAAGGCAGCTGAAAAGATTTGACCATGAAAATTGTTATTTGATAATATTAAAATCTTTAATGCTCTGCAATTTCAGACTAACTGGTTTGGTACCTCCCCTGAAAGATTATTAGTGGACAAATCCAGATATTCCAACCAACTAATTTTACCAAATGAGGATGGGATACCACCTTCAAAAGCATTACTAGATAAGTTGATGTAAAAAATATATGGAAATATGTGCCCCATATTGGCTTGAATTTTCCCACTTAAGCGATTGTTCGAGATATCCATCCAATAAGTATTTATATAGCGGTATGATGGCAAACAAAATTGACCGACAAAAGAGTTATTCCGTAGGTTTAAAACTTCTAATCCCGTATTATTCACCCATAGCCAGTTTGTGAAAGAACCTGTCAAGTTATTGTGGGAGAGATCGATGACCTTTAATTTGTTTTCGTAAAGTAGAAATTTTGGAACTTCGCCAGAGAGCTTACAGTTTGATAGAACAAGGACCTTCAACTAAAACATGGGAATCCAATCTGTAGATTCAGTCTCTACCTCAAATTTGTCATTGTCACTTATCAATTCAAACACCTCAAGGTTTGAATGGTTTGCAAATGACCCAAATGAGAATAAACCCTCGAAACAATTATGACTAAGATCAATGTACTCTAGGGAGTTGAGGCTTCCAAACAGAGATGGAGAAATGTTTCCTGTGAATTGGTTTAGAGAAATATCAAAAAACTTGACAGATCTCAAATTGCTTAGGCATGAAGGAAGGATCCCTTCAAAATGGTTATGGCTGAGATCTAACTCCAAGTTTCTTCAGTTTGCACAAACCTAGAAAACAAGAAGTTTATGAAACACGTATAGTTTGTAATGCCATGTATTTACATAATACTCTATAAAAAAAATAAAAAAAATAAAAATTCTTATTATTATTATTATATATATATATATATATAAAGTGTGGTTTGATAACACAATTCAATATTCAATTACACTTATTTAATAACTACAATTAATATCACTTAAAAATTCAAGTGGGTCTAAAATTTATGCTAAAAGTTAAAATTTTTCTAAGTAATATGAAACTTATTTAATATTGACTGAATTTATAAATACATATGCACAAGCATCAACATATACTATTATAACCCCACCATCATCATCACCACTACCATCACAATATAAAATTTGAAAGATACAATTTCAAAATAATAATTTTCAGATTTAATCTCTTACATATCAAACAATTTCAACATTTAAATTTTTATCAAACAGCTTTTTAATTTAAAAAATTTGGCTTTCAATTTTCAGCACTCCCTCCGTCCCAAAATAATAGTCCATTTTGGGAAATTCAACTTTTTTTGTAGTACAATTATTGTACTTTATAAATATTAATTTTTCAAAATTACCCTTTGGTAGTATATTTTTTTTGGGAATGTCAATTGTTATAATTGTACCTTTTGTGTTGTTAATGAATTTAAAATGAGGCAAAATAGAAAATTCATATTATTTTAGTCCTTAATTTTTGAAGATGGACTAATATTTTGAGATAATGAAAAATGGAATAAGGGACTAATATTTTGGGACAAAGAGAGTAATTTTCAACTTTTGGGAAACACTATGGTGCACACTCTTCAAAAGTGTGCCATATAACTTAAAAGAAAAATAACATAACTTCAATTTTTTGAGTCATAATTAAAAAAGAAAAAAGAAAAAAAGTATATCATAATTAAACACAACATGTCGCATAACTAAAGAACTCATGTGTCATAACTAAAATAATGTCACAATTAAAAAAGAAATTTTTTCATAACTAAAGAAGAAAATGATATAACTAAAGAAGAAAATAACATGTTTAGGGGTTCATATGATACACATTTTTTTAAAGGAGTGTACATTAGAATTTTCCTCAACTCTTAGTTTTCAACTTCCAATTTTATCAAACACCAGCTAACTCTTGAAAACATAAAGATGATGCTAGTTCGTAGTTTTCTTCAATACTAGTTTATTTATTTGCTTTGCATGAAGCCAATAAATAAATAAATAAAATAAAAAAACAGAAAGGAAGCAATAGAATTTTTGTTGGGCTTTGAATTTCTATTTTGTTGGCCTTTTAGTTTATAATAGATAACCTTAACGAATAGAATTTTTACCTTGAATTGGTAAAGAACCACTAAGGTTATTTTGAGCCAGAGATAGAGCTTTCAGAGAAGATAATGCTCCTATGGATGGAGGAATACTTGCAAAGAAATTATTCTCACTCAAATCTAAGATCTGAAGATGGTGGAAGGATGTCAAACCTACCAAAACATATGATAAAGGTAAAATAGAGCCAAGAGAACTCAACAAAATTGTCACGACCCCAAACCGCCCCTAGTAGTTTGGTGCCGTGATGGCCAGTAATCCGAGATTACCAAAGGCCAGCTTTCAAAATTCACACACAATCAGAGTATAAATATATCGGGCTCACAAGTGCGGAAGCAATAATTTAAAATACAAGTGGTCCATAAGAGCAGTGCATAAGTCAAATGGAATGGCATACATCTTTACATAGCCTTAAAACTTGAATACAAATAAAATGAAGTACAAAAATACATATTACATTTTGATAAAAGGCTTCTCGAGCTGACATGTTCAAAATACATAAGCTTCAAGATTGCCGACATAAACAAAAACACTTGAGCCACAAATCATGAAACATAATCTTCTAGTTTGCCGACATCCTCACTGCCGACATAACATGCATACAAAACACACACACCTCGGCGAGGCCGACTTCTTTCTTGTTACCTACATACATACATAGGGAGAGTGAATGGTACAAGTAATAAAGGGGTACATACATACTCAGTGAATGGTACAAGTAATAAAGGGGTTAAATGAATGATACCCGAGATCTTTTCAAAACAATACATATTATATCCTTGTCAAAACCATACATAACATAGCTTAGCTTGGCATGAAATAAAACATCATTCAAAACTTGGTCTTTCAAAACTTACTTACATACTTAACATACGTCAAATCTTAAATCATAACCTCGGCATAACCTTGGTCCTTCAAAACAAAAGCATGACCTCGGCATCGAGCACACCCATTCATAGTCCATCGGTGGCCGATATCTTAACAAGGGTGCTACTTAGGCTTAACGCCCCCTAGCACGAAAGGACGGTGCTACTTAGGCTTAAAGTCCCCTAGCACGGAAGGACCCTCAAAACAGGATGTGCTGCGAAAGTTTAGAGTCCTCCAGCACAAGGGACTTCAAAAACAAGATGTGCTGCAAAAGTTTAGAGTCCTCCAGCACAAGGGACTTCCAAAACAAGGGAATAATAGACCCAGAATCGATTAGACAAACCCACCCGCACAAGGCAGTCGGTGGCAAGGGAGATATCTCAAACAAGGGTGCTACAAAAGTTTAGAGCCCTCTTAGCACAAAGGACCTATGTTACGAAGGCCTGTAGCCCTCTAACATGAGAGTATTGCGAAAGTTTAGAGTCCTCTAGCACAAGGGACTTTCAAAACAAGATGTGCAGTTGCATTATAGTCCCCTGACACTAAGGACTTTCCGAGAAGGTCATCAAAACAAAACTTATACTTGATACGCAAAACTTATACTTGATACTTAAAATAGGGATATCATTCATGCTTAGCAAATACTTTTATCAAAACAAGGCAAAGCTTTATCGAAACCTTATAACATAACTTTATTAAAAATACCACTCACATAGTTCTTGGGATGTCAGGATCAAGGCAAAGGTCCAAGTCCTACAAACACATGGCAAAGCATACTGAACATACTTCTCAAAACAGGTCTCACATGCATGCAATGATCTCGGAAAAACATGCTGGAAGTCAAAACACTGTTTTACATGTCAGGAAGACATGCTGGGTACCAACTAGGTCTTTGCCGAGGTCCCACACCTCCTAGCTGAGGTGTGGCTACCTAGGCTTCGGCATGCGGCTGCATGCCGAGGTGCGCACAAGACACACTAAAGGTGTAAGTGATCATGCAAGGTAGGCCAAGGTGAGATACGATGCTTGGCCTAAGTGTGAGGTCTAGGTACGAGTGATCTCGGGGACTACACCTCGGGAAGTGAAGTCTGGAGATCTGGGTTTCCACCCGTGAAGAACATGAAGAACATGAACATGCAGATCATGAAGAACATGGATGCCAAAATCATAACTTCTTTATTTACAAAATCTGGGATTTCATGCTATGAGTTCGAAAACATGGACCTGGGTACCCATACTTGAAGATCATGTGGAAACAACCACAAAAACATGGATCTTGGCATGAACTTTCGGATCAAAACGTGACTTTTCTTGAAGAACACATGAATGCCATTTTCTCTTTCTAAAACCGAACTTCAAAGCAATGCATGGCTTACAAATCATATTCAATCATGCAATGCAATAACATAAACATAAAGAACGACGAGAGCAGATCAAGAATCTAACCTTAGAGCACGGATCTAACGGTTCGATCTCTAGGAATCAAGCTTGGAAATCTACCTCCTCTCAAGAACTTTTCTCCCTCTTCTAGAGCTTCTCTCTCCTCTTCAAAACAAAGATATAGAAATGATAGGTTTTCTCTCTCTATTAGCTGACATAACACTCAGCTCGAACACGTGGTAACGGCTGGTTGGTTCTCCTCAAAAAGGTGATAGATTGACAAGACAAGACTATGACAAAGTGTATCTAACAAGCTACTCGGTAAGGCACTCCGGCAAGTGATGACATCGGCTAAGGACAAAGCTTCGGCAACTAAGGTGACAATGACCTCGGCTAGGAAGGACAACACTTGACTAAGCTGTGCCACACGTTGGCCTAGATGTGCCACACCTCGGTCTAGGTCATACCACTCCAGGACAAGATCGCTTAGGTGCAAAGGTAACATCTCGGCCTAGATAATACACATCTCAGCCTTGGTAATGAACACCTCGGCCTAGATAGTGACATCTCGCCCAACATGTCAAGGCGAAGGTGGAGGTCAAACAAAGTGGTTCCGAGACAATTTCTAGGCTGAAGGTGACCTCGGCTTGGAATGGTCTAGGCGTAACATAACCTAGGCTTGGCATGACTTAGGCTAAACATAACTTAGGCTTAACATCAAGGAAGGAGCAAAGCATGCAAGAAACACTTAGGCAAATCACATAAACACAGAACGAGACAAGATTCATGAATGCACACTTAACAAGGCAAGGTTATGTAAATGAACATGAATATGGGTTGTTACAGCAACTTAACATGGCAAAACATAGAAGTAAGTCGGAGAGAAGAGTAATCACCAAGTATCACACTAGGACCTAAACTCTTAGTCTCATTGTTGGCAGGAATGACACCTTCAGCAGCCATTAGTTAAGACCACACAACCAAATGAAAGTTGAGATGAAGAGAGAACAAACCTCTGTTTGGAAGTATAAATCTCACCAAGGACAAAACCAGGAAGCATCAGAAACAAGCCTAAACAACAACAGGAATAGCCCAATAGCACCCGAATGAACCAAAATGACCAACAACAACCAAAAAATACCCCATAAATGAAAATTAAAGCCAAGGAAGGCTCTAAATAGCCTAGCTGGCTCCTAGAGAAGGGAGCCCAAGCCTTGAATCAAGCAAAAATAGGCTAGAATTGCAATTCTGAAAAAATGATTCATTATTCTCAAAAATAAAGAAAAAATCAAAAAATAGGCAAAGAAGATCGCAAAAAAATTAAAAAAAAAATTGGGCAATCCCCAGCCCTAGTCGAGCATGCTGGGAATATATATATATATATATATATATTACATTATTGAACAGTGAAATGATGAACCAGGAAGATGGAAGAACACAGAAATTGTGTACTGCTCTGATACCAAGTTAAAAATAAAAGAAGAAATTTAAGAAAGAAGGGAAAATATGATAAAACAGAGAAGAACCACGTTAGGAGGCACAAACCTAATCAAAAATTAGTTTGTCCTCTCTAACTAGGTATATTTATATTAATAAGTGATAAGTAGACAATTACACAACTACCCTTCATCTAATCTTAACATCATCATTTCAAGAACACTCTGTTTGTGAAAAAATAGCATATAACAGCATGACAGGAGCTAAAGGCCATCTAAGAAAATTTTAGAATATCTCCAAAACGAAAAATAAGCATAAACTAACAAACCAAAGTCCCGGAGAGAACCTTCATAAATGAGAGGTGTAATGAATCTCAAAGACATAATCTCAACTTACCCAAAAAAACTAAAATTACATATCAATCATGTAACATCAACTCAGTGCTTTGCTAAAATATAGAAAAATAAAAACAGAGAGATGCAGATATAATAAAAGACAGCAGTTAAACATATTTTTGAAAAATGATAATAAGAACTAATCAAATAAGATGAATGTAGACTAAATATATAGGAGAAACATTAAAAAAAAACCACAGATAAAGCTTCTATTACCTTTATCGAACAAGAACTAACAATTAATTGAACCTTGCACTAAATTCACCAATAGCTACTACTCACTGACCAAACTCACAATAGAACAAGAAGCACAAAAGTTGAATTGTATATAAAATAATATAATAATAGAACTCAACCCAAAAAAGCATGCATCCTAACCATTTCAGGTAGGTTTCATCTTTAGCCTTCATTCAACTCCATTTAGAGACATATCCTCTCATAAATCCTTGACAACTATTTCTTTCCCATAGCCCCAGCTGATGTTCATTTTGGCCTTCCTCTTATTCTTTTAGCAACTTAAATTTAATTCTTCCTTTGGGAGGAGTGGCAGAAAACTGATAGGAAGGATTATATACAAAGGAAAGAAAAGAAACGGAGGGAAAGATTATCTATTTGGCTAAACAGGAAGGAAAGAAAATGAAATAAATACTACTAACCGCTTCTTTTATAATTTTCTCTTACAAATGAAGAGAAGGGTGGTATATAGCTGACTACAATGGCCTAACAACCCCCAAATTTCCACCTTGAATGCAGTTGAATAGGAAGTACATCATAAAATTTATTCTTTAATGGTTAAGAAAATTATCAAAGAGTCTCAAAGCCTCATTTGTAGTTGTCTTTGTGTGTGTCTTTTGTCTCTTGAGAAGGCAGCGAGGAGAGGATACCAAAATCAACCTATACATGCAAAGATCAGAAAAAAGCATGCCATAACCAAAACTTTTCCCAGTACAGTGCAGGCTAGACAAGTGAAGGTCTCATACAAGTATTGATCTCAAACACAATCTAAGAAGCATAGACACTTCTAAAAAGGTGGCGTATCCATGTCATGTCCATATTGGACACCAACACTCGTTGGACACTAACACTCGTTGGACACTTCCCGACACGTGTCCGACACTCGTCAAAAAAAATAGATCTAGACACTCTTTGAACACTTGGAGGACACACATGTGCATTTCTTAAACACACATGTCCACCAATTATACACACCTAAAACTAATTATAGGTTTGACCTAAATAATTTAGGATACAATAATAAAAGAAAAAAATATATAAATTTATAAAATAAGTGTTCTATTACATTTTTTATTATCTTTGAATGATATATTCATATATATGACATATAATAAATATATAAACTTATATATTTCGTGTGTGTCTCCCACATGTCGTGTCCTACATTTTTTGAAAATTAACGTGTCGGCATGTCCATGTATATTTGTGCCTTGTCACATGTCTGTGTTCGTGCTTGTTAGAACACAAAGCAAAACTAAATTATAGTAAGAAATAAAGTTTTCTCAACCAATCGACAGAGAATAGATCTATAAAAATAAATAAATAAATAAATAAAACCCGCAAACTTCTATAGTTAAACAAGTAAAACAACAAATAGCAGCTCAATTTATTTTTTTGTCTTCCTCAAGTTTGAAGACATTTCAACACAATAACCTACAAAAGATATATGGTCAGTCTCTGTGTCAAACTACCACTAATATAGGTGAAGGAAACTTGCTTCCAATTGCATACCTGCTCAATGTTGTACCCAAGGTTTGGATCATTACATAGAGTTAGAACCATCGCAAACCGGTCCAAGCAATTCCCAAAAACAATATCTATAGTCTCACCAAAAATCCGATACCGCCCCTCACTATATGTAATCAACCTTGTGTTCCCACCACTTACATATAGCACAACAGGGTCATTTGCTCCAGTGACAACCTTTCCCATTTCAATATGAGCAGCACAATGATTTACCTCAACAATGGGTTTCTTCCAAAGCTGTGAAAGAACCTGAACAATAATAGTGGCAACTTGTAATAGTGCACCCATGCCTGGTCCTTTAGTGTAACAAAGACGGTCAATGTCATTTGGGGTTATCTGCACAATCTTGAGAGCAGATTTGATAAGCGGCAAGATGTGTTGGAGATGGTGTTGGGCAGTTTCTCAGGGAAGGAATCCCTGCATTGGAGGGGTAACAGAGGTGTGTCTTGGGTTTGATAAAATTAAGCCATCAAGGGTCACAACCCCAACACCATCTTATTGGCTGACCCCTCAAACCCTAGATCTATCATCTTCTTCATCTTTAAGAATAATATATGCCTGACTCAAATCCAACAATGTCTTCAAATTAGGTTGATGACTTCAACTGAAATTATATATTCCTGTTATTTGGGAAAAAAAATACATAGTTAAGAGACTCCGTCACAACTAGATATATCTACTAATGCATCGTGTGTTGCACGATTGGAGGTACCAATAGTGATTACAAAGTTGTAACATGAACGTAGACAATAATAGCATTGTAGTGGAAAAAAATAAAATGGGCTCAATGTTGGAAATAAATTGAATCAAAAGTAAGGCGAAATGAGGCTTTTGTTGAGATGATTTCTTAGAAAAGGTTGAACTTCAATTTGTCAACAGCAATTGTCAATTAAAAGATTGAAATATTTTTTTTTTCCTTATTTTGAAGAGGACTCCATTTTTGGAGTCAAATGAATGGTTTTATTTAAAATCAAACCCATTTCTCCAATTTAAAAATACTATACCTTGCTTTATTTTATGTTTTATTTATTAGATTGACTCCAAAATAGTAAATGAAAATTTTAGACTATCTCAAATAGAAAACTGATGATGTTCTTCCTTCTGGCGAAGGATGGGTCGGATTGATCACACTTCCAACGGATCTATTGCCTTTGAACCCCACGAAGTGTGCCTACAAAATGGTCCAAAGGAGGAGGCAATCCCTCGGCGGATGCTCCAAAGATCAAGTTAGGTGTAGAACTGATTGATTAGGGAGAGTAAGAGATGGTGAAAAACTTAACTTTTAACGTGTCTCAAAAGCTTCCTTATATCCTTTGCTCATCATTTCCTTATCCACTCTAAGCTATCTTGTTGGCCGAAAGTCTATAGCCTAGTTGACATCATTCATGGTGATTCTGCCACTCCGATGTGAGGGTTCTTGCCGCATTTAATGCTACGATGGCCTCATTAAATGACTGATGTGGGTCCAATAACTTCGCACAATCTTTGTTTGTTTATATGGCTAATTCCCTACTTGAGGGGTGCTTGAATGCCAGTGGTCCTGGCCTAGCACTGGCTTCTCAAAGTTACAGGGCTTTTAGCCCAAGGTGCCCATTAGTATCAGTAGTCCCCCACTCCAAAGTGCAGCTTTAGTCCAACGAAGGGAATAAGAAATAAAAGAGTAGTCCCCCAAGACACCAAAGAGATCTGGTGGCCGAACGAGGGAGAGAGTCGACCGGTGTGGTGGCCAACCGCAAAGAAAAGAGCCCGATCGACTGGCAAAGTTGGCCGATCAATGAGGAAGGTGATCGACCGAGGTGGTAGCCGACCATTGGAGAGGGTGGCCAACCGGCGAGGAGAATGACCGACCAAGGAGGAAGTTGGCCAACCAAAGTGATAGCCGACTGCGGAGTGAGGTAACCGACTGCGGAGGGAGGTGGCCAACCGACGAAGAGGGTGGCCAACCGAAGTGGTGGCCGACTTCTTAGGAAGGTGGCCGACCGACCGTGGTAGTAGCTGACCGCGGAGAAAGGTGGCCGACCTAGGTGGTGGCCGACTACTGAGAGGGTGGTCGATCGACGAGGAGGGTGATCGACCAATGTGATGGCTGACCGTTAAGGAAGGGAACTTACTGGCAAAGGCATTAATAGCGCGCGAGGCTTGAGATACGAGAAAGCATGTGATGATGTAAAGTGGAATACGGGAAAAGAATAAGAGATTGTGGTAATACACATGGGATAATCTGGATGGATGGAATTGGAGAGGCTATAAACATATAGGGCGAGGTTTGGGAAGGCAGGGGATTTTAACTTGGTGAATTTTTGAACTGGCGAATTTTAATCGCTACCCTTGGAATACAGGCAAACCTTGGGCCTTTGGGCTTGTGTGATT